CGATTGGCCACCAGTTCCAAAGGGATTTCCACGTTGCGGCCACTATATGCCACCGATTACGAAGTGGTAAAGTCGCTTGATATGTGTTTAGGCGGATTTCATGAAATTCCTTAGTGATGTATAAATTGTTTTTTTCGTTTTTTGTTGAAATTTATGCTTCTTGCTGTATTGTTTAATGTTTTTGCCATCAGTTAAACCCTTTACTGTTCAATTTCCAAGTATTTTTTATTTATAAATAAAAATGTATTTCGTTGGAAGCTTAAATGTTAATAGACATAAATACATAAATATTTGACTAAAAAGTGTGTTACAAAGGGCGTGGCAATATGAAATACATATTATTTCTGTAAGAATAATAATTATCCATAGTCATATTGCTATTATTATTATATGAGATATAAATGAATTTAAACTATAATAAAAAAAAAACCTGTAATTGTTTTTTGTTTTTATTTTTATAATTATGGAAGATGTTATATTTATATTGATTATAATTATGGAGATAAAAATACGTTTGCTCTTTATTTGTGTTTTCCCACAAGGTGAGTTCATAATGGGATGGTGAGTTTGTCCTTGGGCATAAGTAAAAGTGGCGTTGGCAATGAATTGCTATGTTAAAAAGACATTGTGCTTCTTAGGAGCATATTTCGCCACCTTCATCTTGGTTATTATATTTAGAGGTTATAAAGAGGTAGTAGCTAGTGGCAATTCGTCACTGGTTCCAACTTATCAGATAGTGGTAGTATGGACTATTGCAGACTGGCCGAAGGGATGTTATTTGTTGTGCAGGATTGCAAGTGAATTACGAGTTTTGTTCGTGTTGATTACCTTTGTACGTATACTTAGCAATACATTCTAGAAATCTATACATAGAATACCGTTGATTGGTGCTGATCAGGTTTTAATGGTAACTTAGAACAATATAAAAATAGTTGAATGCTGTTAAAAGCTACGAATGTTCCGTTCCCATGACTATTGGGTCTACATTACCGAAACGGACACGAATTTTCATCCATCTAAGGACCGTCAACTCGGCAGTGTTTTCTGATGTCACAACAAGAGTTATAGTTTAGTGGTCGTCAAGGTCATCTAACGGGAGGCCCAGAAATCGAGCTGTTTCGACGGGGTCGGACCATAAGTTATAGTTTGATTGTCGTCGAGGTCATCTAACGAGAGGCCCAGGAAACGAGCTGCCTCGTGAATCCACAGGGTCGGACCATAGGGAAGCGGGTGTTAGATAAGTGAGGTTCGTAGGGCATGCAAAGAGGTGGTTAGTGTCATGCGGAGACTCATTGGCGGGGTCGATTCTGGATAAGTAGGAGTTTAACCTGATACAGTATCCAGAAGGAAGTTGCGCGAGGGTCCCTCTAAATTCACGAGGCAACTCGAGCTCTACGTCTGCGATGGGTGGTGATTTGACTCCTAGTACGCCATTCACTGAGAGGGAGTCGATGAAGGTGTAAATGGCTCCACTGTGAATCGCAGTCAGTGGTTGTCTAAAGTTCGTTGCGTCCGAAGTCAGGTCGGCGTACTGTCTAATGTCGTCGACGTAATCAGAAAGGACCTCTTGATGTTCCTAGGAGGCGGTTCCGCTTCGAGCAGATGACTACAGGGGTGGTTTCTACGAAAAGATCCCAGCAGAAACTGTTGGAAAGGAGTTCGTTATGTTCCTTAACCGGAAGCATACGGGACTCACTATGAAGGAGTTCTATTGGGGACATCAAGAGGCATCCCGTGACAGTCCAGAGTGCAGACAAGTCTGAAGCTTCTTCGTCTGCGTTGCACTATATCCAAGCGCCCAATTTGGAGCAGCATAGCCCGGGCGGCCGACTGCATTATAAGTTGCCAGCAACGTTTCGCCGGGAGAGGACACCGACCTGTTTGACCCTAACAGATACCACTTAAGAAAAAATTCGGCGGTGACTACTTATTGAGCCGGTTCAAAAAAAAAGTTTTCATAAAATGAAGGGGTAAATGTTCAGAACAGCGGCTTTTCTGAAAAAATTATCCAAGTTTTTGGAAAACGTCTTAAAATATGTTTTTAAATTTAATTGTCCAAAAAATGCGATTAAAAACTCAATTAATTTTTGTTTTAAGATATTTGCCAAGAAAATTGTACAATTTTTTCAAAAAAATAATAACCTGCAACAAAGTTGACAGATTCCTGTTAGAGCCTATTTGATACACTTACTGAAAGTGATAGTGAAAGAACTTATAGTAGTGCCAAAATATACATACATAATCAATAATGCTTAGAGATTTATTAGATACAAAGCCAATTATTATTAAATTCATATTCTCTACCGTAGACTGCAGCCTCTTAATCAATTTATGTTATAGAAATTCTTTACCATGCGATATATAAAACAAAAACAGGCGAATCTTTCCCTTTTGAAAAGCCATTACACGGAGCATTTTATACAGCTTCCGCTGCACTGATCGAATGACACCACTTACAACTTTTAATAATAAAAAATCACTTTATTTCACACCAGTCACGATCTCAACGACTTTCATTTTATTTTAAATCAAAAAGCTAAAAAATAACTGCAATACAGCTTACAGGAAGTAAGTTCTTGGCTTTCTGTATGAGAACAATTTTCTGTTGCCCTTGTGGTGTACTCTTTGCACCAATGGGAACTTGATTTTGGAATCGTGGAATTGTTTAACATGCACACGACGTGTCTTGCTGGCTGGGATAGAGTCAACCTTGATGATTTGAATTGAATGAGCACGAGCACGATGACGAGCACCCATATCACGGTAACACTGTGTCACGGCACCGCCAACGGACAGGTCACGGTATTCACGGTACATGTTGTGGGTACCGGAACGGGAGTCATAACGCAACCAAATGCCAAAGTTCTTAATTTTAGTTGGAGATGTTTCGTACACCTGTTTCAGTGAAACAATTTCACCAGTGGTCTTCTTGAACTTCTTCAGTTGACGCAAGAAGTACCAGAAACGCGACTTCGCCACGATGTTATCCGGGGCAAAGATACGCATTTTGTAGAGAGGAGTTTGTGGCTCCTTCTCGGTTGGCAACTTGCGGCCAATCACTTCGTATTCTTTCAACTGTAAAGAAAATATTCAAAAACGTATATATTAGTTGCAGAAATAAACAAATAGGCTCCAATAAGTTGAGGTTAAAATGAAATTCTGACAGCTGTCTTCGAATGGCAAAGAAAATAATAAATGCAGATTAATTTGTTCACAAAAAATTTTCGAAAAGGGATTAAACGCAGGTACTCCAAGTGATAAGAGCAGTAATTCAAGAGTTTTTATTAGTAATCGCACATTAGTTTTTACCCAACATCGTGTCTAATGTGAAATGACAGCTCCTCGCCGCCGATATAAGCACGTTAATAGACGTACTCCATAATTTCAAATTTTAGCATGTTTTTTGCATTAATTTGTTAACACTTATGCACTACACTATTTATCTTTGCTTCCAATTTCATATTCCACCAAAAACTTTTTATTTTTTAACGAAAATTCAACATATTTGAGGAAAATTTACCTGTCCCTTAGCTTTCATTTTAGCAGCGTTCACAGAAAAGGAAGAGAAAACCACATACAAGTTCACACCTTAACTTGTAGGGTTGATACGGTGACATCTACCACCGCACGGTTGTATTATAGAACTTGGTACTCGGTTTAATTCTAAAGCCTTTGAAACAACAGTTAACTTTTTTTTTAATAATTAAACTTATCCTTAAATAAAAAAGTGCGTTTGATTTGAATTTTATATAATTACACAACGATTTCAATAATTCTGTCTAATGTTTTTGTAGCATTTTAAAATGTTTAGAGCCACTGTGTTTGTCTTCGACACATCGACAGGTGGCGCTGTAAATAAGTTGTTTACATTAATTAATCAAATATAAAGCAAATTTATTTGCCGATATTTAATAAAAGAACTCTGCAATGGGAAAACGAGAAGGTGTGTCACTAAACATTTTATAAAATTATTCACAATTACCCACAACATATTTATTACAGATCATAAGGAACACAGGCGTAGCAAAAAAACTAAACATGCGACTGCTTCACCTAATAATAATACTTCTACATCCTCACCATCATTAAAAGAAGAAATAATATACGATGCTGAAATGATCGATGTAGTTGATGTGGTTGATCACGAACAAGAAGTTGCCAACACCACAACTACATCAGCTCCCACCACCCCAACACCTACACTTACTCCAACAAAAGCCAGTAGTAGCAAAAATGCGTCTAGTAGTAGTAAAAAATCAGTGCCAAAACAACAGTCCGCGCCTGGTACAACTGCTAGTAGCTCACCAGGAGCATCTGCAACGCCTGGTTCTAACGTAAATGTAGCCAACAAAAAGTCAAAGAAAAGACGTGACAGTAGCACTTCTAGTGAGGAAGAGCGCTGGTTGACAGCGATTGAGTCCGGAAAATTAGAAGAAATGGATGATGAGCTGAAAAAAATGAAAGATCCTAAATTGATGACGGCACGTCAACGTGCCATGTATGAACGTAATACGGATAAGGAGCCTTCTCCGGGTGGGGAATTACTAATGTCTTTACCGAATGGCTATCGTGAAAAAGAAAAACCTCTTACGGCAGAAGATATACAAAAAGCTCAGCTCAAATCGCAAAAACGCAAGCAACTTGCTGATGAGAAACGTGAAAAGGACAAGAAGAAAACTATGGAACGTTTACTCAAAAAACAGGACAGTAAACAGCGCAATGCGACACGTAATAAATCGACGAAGACTTCTCAACCGATGATCACGTATCGTAATACATTAGATGGCGCCTACATACATTTACCGGCTGAACACGAGTTTCCACTGGCAGCACAAGTGCCGATCTCACCACCCAAAGTACAATTATGTGGTATAACTGGATGCAATAAACCGAAGGTATATAACTGCTCCAAAACAAATATGCCGTTATGCAGCTTTGCATGCTATCGCAAAAACGTACAAAATGTTCGACAAATAATGTGCTAAACATTACAGAGAATATTTTAAATTATAACAATAATTTAAATTCTATATTTAAGGTTTCTATTACATTTAATCAATAAAAGAACATTTGAGAAATTATGTGAAATGTTTATAACCATGCCTTCACTGATTCAGCAAAAAATTATTAATAATTTCCTGCTGCTCTGACTCAATGCGCTGTAAGTACTGATATTCGTTTCGCAATCTCTCTAATTCAATATTTTTCTCATGGATTTTACTCTGGTACACTTGCTGCTCAGCCTGTCGTTCCTTCGAAATAGTTTTCAGCAAATTCTGTGTACCGATAGCTCTCAACTTCTCCTTTTCTACATCTTTTGCGAAGCCACTTATAATTTTATGAAAATCCTCGGCATATTTCTTAAATTCTTGCAACTTGTTAGCATATTCCAAACACTCTTCACGCAATTCGTTTGTTTCGTTGGCAATCGCTGGATCTTGGACACGCAGCCTATAAATATCATCAATGTAAAGTCCGGCTTTCTCCAGTTCCTCCGGCATATTATAATAGTTATTGATACTAGATACTATCAATGATTTGTTAAATAGGAATTCCACTGTGCATATTATTATTTGATTAATTATAATCAACAATAATTGTTCAGGTGCCTTGTTGAACTTTGTTTTCTACTTTAATGTAATTTTGAAAAACAATGACAATTGTTTTGTTTATCCGTCTTAATGACTGTCATAGCAACGACAGTTTATATCCTGACAAAACAAGTAAGACAATTATTTACACGTCCTTTATTTACAATATTTTTCCATGTAACATTTGTGGAAAATCATATTTATTATAATTTTATGCCATAACATTTTTAATAACAGCTTTTGTTAACATTTTTTTAACTGACTCATATCCACAAATACTTCGGAATAATCTTTAATTCATATGTTTATTTGTATTCATCAAATTATTTTTATCGGTTATATTTTTGTATTAATACTTGTTTTTTAGACCTGTACTACAATTAACTACAATAATTTTACCAAAGTCTGTTTTATTATTCCAGCTTTTTGTTGCTTATATTTTTCTTTTAATATTTGTAAGTTATACGATTTCAAGCGCATTCACTATTTCCAAATAGAAGTATTTTATTTGTTTTAGTTCTATTGGATGCCCCAATGTTATTTGTGTTAAAGTTTGAACGATTTAATACGATAATTTAGTCATCAATGCGATAGTTTTTATTTGTGGGTATGTAAATCACATATGGGATGTTGTTGTTGTTGTAACGGTTACCTACATATGAGTCACATATGGGTCTTACAATCTGCCTGTGCGTAAGAATACAGGAACTATTTTTAAATTTAAACCGCGTTCGTGAAACTCATCAGTTTCACACTAATATCAAACGCAATTGTATAAATAAAAAAATAAAAAACAATTGTAAATTGCAAACTGATAATGAGAATGTTTGTGTATGTGCGTTTAATACTATAGTGTGTAGAATTGTTAAGCAACAGATCAACAACATATTTATGTATGTGCATATGGTGTTATGTGGTGAAAAATATTTTTAACAAATTGAGATATAAAAATATGTATGTTAATATACAGAACCCCAAACATGCTGAACAAAGGTCGTTGCATTGCATTATACTAGATTTCTTTAAGGATTTATATAATATTGACCTTTCAAGTGATTTCGTACATATGGTCATTTGTGTTCTGAACATACACTTATATTTTAATTTTACGAGTAAACTTGTCTTTGTCACGCGTTCGGGTGCTTTTATATCCCCATAATAGTATCTTTCTTTGGCGATTTACACACTACCTCCGCTTACATCCCTCCAAAGTTAGGGAAGTGCGGTGCGTTGTCATCCAACATATTGTTTCACGAATCATGTGGGATTGTTGCGTTTGTTCGAACGTAAACGAGCCAAACTAGTGCGTTCTTCCTCCTCATCACTGGTATACTGCTGCATACCAGGCGCAGCCACGGCTCCGCGTACAGATGATGTTGCCTGCAATAATTCTTGATCTGGTGCATTACGATTCTCATACAAAAGTACTTGTAACGTTTCCTCATATATGCGTGCTTCGGGAAATTCGACTTTGGTATGCTTTCTATCTGTGGCATACACAATTGAAGTGCAGCATACTTCAGCGACTTTTTTTCCATGACCATAAAATGACCAGCAACATATTTCACTAGGTCCAATCACATCCTTTATAAATAATATGCGTTCATTGAAACGTAAAGACAATTTATCAAAAAGTTCAATATTTTTCAGTAAGTTATCGTCTGATGTGCTTGTGTAAGAGTATTTATTATTTTGTCGCTGCACTACCAAAATTACTGCTGGCTTCGACGACGAACTAATCAATAGTTGCTCCTCCTTTTGCGAGGTGATTAATGGAATTCGGCAAATTGGTTTGGGCTCCTGGTGTGCCAGGAGTGCTCGCTCACAAGACATGGCCAATTCGGTTATGCAATAATATTTTGCTTCGGCAAGCAATTCGGCGATTTCTTTATGAGATTCTGGTAGTGGAACAGTACCGTCACGTAAATAATTCAGTATGGTACCGAAATGATTGCCACAACGGTCGATTAGAATCCAACCTAAATTGGAGAATATTAAAATTAAAATCATAAATACAAAGGTAATGGTAGTAGTAGAATTTATCTTTGGTTGACTTACCCTCTGAATCAGTTAACACTTCCATGCGACCGCTGAACATTGCACTTAACATCGTATCGTGTTTCGTCAATGTACCAATTGTTGTGTAGTACAACCTTCCACCAACATTTAGCTTTACATACTGTGATGAGTGCCCCTTTAGAAGGGTTTTTTGATCACCCGACATTTTACTTGTAGCTACTAGTCCTGGTCCAGGAATTAACTGCACTTTTCCAACAGCACCACTACAACTTGGCACTAGACTAACGCCACTGGAGCTTTTGCAAACGCTATCTTTGGCGTTGCAGGTGCTCGACGTTATTATTGCGACGGTATCAATTTTGACGACCTTTAAACCAGAATGAGATGTCTTAATAAATATACTGCTGATTTTGTAAGCTACCTAGACTTTTATCTAGAATAGTTGAGCGAATCGCGTTGGTGTGAGGGCCAGCGATTTTTAAAAATCACTTTAATGTTCCAAATTTGCGTAGTATATATTCAGAAATATTTTCTAAATCTAAATTCCACCTTTTTGATGAAACACTTCTTTATTGCTGCAAATTAAAATTTAACTCTGGGAGTAGCAGAAAACAGCACAAATGCATCAAGTTGACAAGTTTTTTAAGACCATAGTTGCCACATCGACAATTTAACTTATTCAATTAAATGTTGGTGGATTATGATTTGCACATCTTTTTTGAGGAATTAATAATGCAAGAGCAATACTAATGCTATAGATCATGATTCAGTTATATCATGTTGTGTTACTTCAGAGCGTGCTGCCTACTACTGCCTAATGCTTAATATTTAACGCCAAAACATCGTTTTTGATCATTTTGTATGATTTACAATCTATCCGTATTTATTTATCACTCAAACAAACATTTTCATGGTTGAAATCTTTAAAAATTTTGTTTTTGAATCATAAAAAAATCTAAACGGCTAAGTTTGACATTTTGTATAAAGAGCCTTTCGAGAAATTGTTGTTATTCTGCTATCGACACAACCTTACATAATTGAATAAAGGTAAAAGCTGTCATGGATATCAATTACTGCTACACATAACCCCCAAAACAAATTTTAATTTTGTAAATATTTATTTACTTTTATCCTCAGGCAATCTTGTATACTTATTCGAAAATCGGAAGTAATAAAAACTGCACATTTTATTATAACTGTTGGGGATCTTACTTTATTTAAAAACTAAGTATTTTATTTCATTTTATTTACCATTTCATTGTGTATATATTGATTTTGTAAATTAATTAAAATTATGCCTTCTTGTATATGTATACGTACGAGTTATCTGTAATTCACTTTACAAAATATATAAGTGTATTATATGAAAACTAAATTGCTGCTCCGCAATCGCTATTCTTCACTTCCTACAATGCACTTCTGTGTATGTATGTATTTATGTACGTGCACGCCTTGCTTACGGATATGCAACAATCAAATGTGATAAATAAGAATAGTAGGGTCTGTTGATCTAAAGTATCGTCGGTGTAATTAGAGTGCAATGAGTGTACGTTACAACTTTCAATGCCAAAATTAAATGTGTACTGCAGCCAAAATAAAATTATGCGCTCTTTGAGCTGACAGAAATTTCACTAATGAGAGCTTATTTTATTCCTTACTTTTATGTTGAACTCAAGAAAATATTCCAGTTCTTGTTGCTATTGGATTGGTCAATATTTCGTACAAAAGGTATTACAAGAATCCACTGTAAACTTGGTATTGTTGATTCTCCCTCGATCGTTTTAAAATCTTAATATTAGTCATTGTGAAAATTAGAACTCTCATGCAGACGAGATTTTGTGATTTTCTTAAAAATTAAACATATAATTCCTTTCTTTATATATTAAATGGAGTAAACCAATTTTGGAATCCACACACTCCAATTGCTGCTGGCTGTTAACAAATTCTATATATGTATGTATTTACGTCGAGGACACTGCGATATTATCAGTATCTGCTGTATCCATGCTGCTGGCCGTAGTGTTACTATCGCAATCCTTTAGATCCGTAATACTTGCAACTGCTGCCGCTGCCTCTGAAGTGCTGCTACTGGCCGCTACATCGCTGTTACTGCATGCAGATGTCCCAATTGTAGACTTGTTTGTGTTGGTTGTCGTTGAGGTTGTTTCCTCGTCAGTCTTCAAGCGTTTGGTTTTGTTGGCATTATCGGCTTCGTTGGAATTGTCATCGGAACTTGGGGAGGCTGCGCGTTTAAGAAATGGTAGCTCATTCTTTGGAGCGCTTGCGTTAGCGTTAGAAGTTTTAGCGGTAATATCTTTAATAAGCACAATTTCTTCGGGATTTAGTTTAGTTGGCAAATCCAAAATTTTGGATTCAAAACGTACAATGACTGCTGTCATATTGTCACAGCCCGTTCCATCGCCAATGGTATTAGGAGCCAAACATGTATCAAAAAGCTTTGAAATCAAATTAAAAAAAAACAAAAAAAAATAGTTAGTTAAGCATTTTCTATATTAACAAATATACACAATTTTTGGTTTTTTTTGGTTTACCTCCTCACATATTTGTGACATCTTTTTGGAATCGTCCTTCAAACGTTGACGTACGAAATCTACCACTTCCTCGCTAGATAAATAATTCCAAATGCCATCACAAGCCAATACCATGAATTCGTCATCTGGTGTGATAATAAGTTTTCGCACATCCGGTAACGCAGATATCATTTGCGCTTCGGCGGGCAATTCCAAATTCTGTGTAATAAAAACATGTTTTATGTTGATATTTTTTTTAATTCAATCTTTTCCAAAATGTTTACCATTTTATAAGCGTGATCTCCAATAGCACGTGAAAGATTTAAGCCACCATTCACACGACCATCTAAAGTCACACGACCACCAGCTTTTATAATACGCGCCGATTCCTCTTCATCTTCCGGCTTATGGTCCAAACTCATGTCGATAGCTTTGCCATTGCGGCAAACTACACATCGCGAATCGCCAGCGTTCGCCACATATAAATCTCGACCGTTTAATAGTGCGACAACAGCAGTGCAGCCACTATCCTTGCCGGGCTCCTCGATCATATCGGCACAAAATTGCTCGTTAGCAAGTGCAGTTTCTTCATCCTCTTCTAAAACAAAAAACACAAAATTAGACTTGCATTAATTTTATAACGTATTGTGAATAAAAAAAAAATTACCCTCTTCTTCTTCAATCTCTTCATCCGACGAATATACACTTGAGTTCTCAGCTAAACAAAGGAGTAAAATCATGTTAACTTTTGCATTTTTGAAGTAAATTAATATAAGTACCTTCTTCAATTTCTTCGTCCTCGGAGGAATACACCAAGCCATGTCTAGCATCACCTTCTTCAGTATTCTCTGTTGGATATATTATTATTTATTTAAACAAAGTGAAACTCTAAAATATTCTAAACAACTAACCTTCATAATCGGCATCATCATCGGTGGATTCTTCCTCTCCACTTACATCGGTTTTCTTAAGCTTCTTGGATTCCTTACTAGTGGAAGTTATTGTAGTGCTGCCAGCCACTTGTTTATTTGCTGCAGAACATGAAGTACTTCCAATGGTGCCATTTTGTATTCTCTTTGCAGCATCATTTGAACCGGAGACAGTGGTGTCCATTTCTGCGCTTGCAGCAATCTGTTTTTTAATTGGCTTTTTCTCTGATGAAGATACACTACCATTCTGTTCAACCTCTTTGGTATGCGAGGAATCCGGGCAAACTTCCTTGTTGTTTTCTGAGGATGATGCATTGTCAATGACCAATGTTGCTGCAGGACCGTTTGCAGAGGTCTTTTCCGTGTTACTTTCGGGTTTGTTGTTTTCTAACTCAGCAGCAATATTATTACTTGGTTTACTTGCACTAGAGCTGCTGCTACTGACAGTAGAATCCTCCTCGGGCTCATCTGTGTCCATTTTTGATAGATTGCCGCTGTTTGATGAACTTGGACCTGACTCGGAAGTTATGGGATCTGTCTTTGACGATGTACCTACAGATGATGGTTTGTGCGAAGAACTGGGACCAATTTCGCTGGTTAAGGTAGCAACCGTAGCGGCAGCTGATGTAGAGGATCCTTCTGGTTTGGATTCTGGATCCAGCACTGCTTTATTTGTAGCATCGGCTATAACAGCGGCCGCGCGCCTACCACGCAAATAAGGCGATTGCGGTTTAGCGCCAGTCGCTCCATCTTTAACACGTTTCAACGATGGCATGCATGGTCCACCTTTATATTTTTCCAAGACTTCATCTAAAGGCAAATGACTCTCTTCGTGTAGCTCAGCCAAATCTTCAAAATCTTCATCATCCTCATGGGCATCACTATCATCGCCATCAAAACCTTTTTCGCCAGCCAATATTTTTAGTATATCTACTACTTGTGGCTCAAGCAGTGTTTTATCAAAACCCAAAAATGCTTCCTTTAAAGCCTTTTCGAATTCGCCATCTTTGTACGTAGACAATTCCTTTAAAAACTGCGGTAGCTTATCCGCGCAATAGGTCGCCACTTCAGCGCCCCCATGCCCATCGTAAACGGCAAAAAATGAGGTATTTGTATCGAAATTTAAAATGGAATTATGAGCATCCTGTTACAAAAAAAAATTATTATAAACTTAGTCAAATTAAAACCTTTGTTTGTATTTATGTTTATATCTCTTACTTCCTGATTATTGCGCCAACCTTGCATTGAGCTAGCTCCCACTGTCAATATATCATTAGACTCGTCCGTAGACACCTTGTCCGTTTTCGGTTCGGATAGGTACGCGCCCATTTTGCAATACACAACGCGTCACAACAGTTTAGCGGCGAAATTTATTTAACACGTTAAAACACAAACACTACAGCAAGGAATGCAAATTCCAATTGTGGAAAATCAATGTTTTATATTCGAAGCGTAGGTTAGCTACCGATGTATACACACTTAATGCCGGTATTTTATGAGCGGTAAAAGCGGGAACAAAACTTGCGCAGCTAATATATAGCACGTGGAAGCAGAAATCGTCAAGTTTTTTAATTTAGTTATCGATTAATAAACTAAATATCCAGGCGCGTTCTTTATCAAATACTTACCACTCTACTACCCCTTCCTAAAATAATTGATTTTATTTCTCGCCTTTGCTTTGCCCCGACTCTTGAATTTTTGCTTTCCTTGTCTTTGGCTTTGGATAGCTTTCCTCGTTGTGTGTATCCAACGCCTTCTTTTGGCAACAACGCTTGCAATGCTGTCCCCTTGTGATGCTTCTTGCAGCTGTTCTTCTTCTTTTTTTTATTACTTCGGCTTTTTTTCGCACCGATAAATTGTAAAAGCACTGCAGATTTTTGTAAACTAATCTGTTTTTCGTTGTCACCAACACTTTTTGCACCTTTCGGGAGGTATTTCTTTGATTTATTATAATATTGGGAATATTTCTCAACAATTTTCAAAGTTTTTTCCAGGCGTTGACCTGCAGACGCAGACGTACTAGTGGCAGGCAGCGGTGGCGGCGAAAATGAAATTGGCAAATTAAAAGAAATTTATAAAGAACCGCAGCACAAGGAATAAAAATCATAAAGCGTGGAAAAATAGAAGGTTGCCAGACTTGTTTTTGAAAGGAATGTTTTTTTCCAATAACAATTGATATAGTACAAATTTTGTTTACATAATGAATATTTAAATGACAAACTAAATAAATATTAAAAATATAGGTATAATGGTATTTGCTATTAAAGGTATTGATTAATATTAACTAGCTTAATGTTATTAGAATTCAACAAATCCGGTAATGTCACTTATAGCAAATTCACCGATTAGGTGATGTGACTCAACGACGTCAAGATGAAAGTAATTTTATGGTTGTGATGTAATGTTTTGGAAAACCAAAAAAAAATGTTTGCATAAACTTAATAAATTGTAATTTTGCAATGAAATATGGCTTTTAAGTCGAAATATTATATTGTCACTATATGCATATGTGTATGTGTGTATCTCTTAAAGGCGAAACTGCTTATGTAAAGGAAATAGACATTTGAGCGCTTGCTGGGTATAATTGTATTTTCTTTTACGCTTACATCTCATTTCCTCCAGTTTGCTTTTCTTAACCGTTTGACAGTTCAAATCATTAGACAAATTTCATTTTTTAATTAGGATTAGCAAATTTATTTTTTAAGATAAAGAATATAAAGTTATAAATTGTTATTAAATAGCTGTGTATATAATATGTGAAATTGTGTTAATAGTGGTATAGGCTACTTGTATACCTATTATAGATAACAAGTGCTTTCTGTGAGTGAAAAATTGGTTTAACATCCGATTTAATGAATTACTAAATTATTACTGTTACTTCGTGCTAAGGAAGTTCGAGTACTAATTATGTATGTGCGCGTGATTTCATGTTAATGGGATAATAAAGAGTATTGTCGCCTTATCAACAGGTATCTACATTCATGTATTTATGTTTGAATATTCAAACATATTGTATACCCTACACAAATACAGATAGTGAACAGGTGAAACTAAACTACATCAAATACCTCAAAGGGCAAGTTTCTCATCCAAGTTTCTGTATGCATTACTCTTCTTAGACAATTGACAATTTGTTTACCACATAGAGAAAAAATTACCTAATTTCAAATTTATTTTCGATTTACAATAAATTATTAGGCCAGATAAATATACAGTGTATATATAACTAATATGCTTTGGCGAAAGATACTGCCAAGGAGTGATTTAAAATTAAAAAATAAAATCAGTTAACAACTACCGGCACCATCTGGTCAAATACGACTCGGACTGATCTATATAAACTAATATTAGTGTGAAGTATGATCTCGATATGTCAATTCGTGTGTGTTCGCTGTTTGTTTACGATGCGAAAGGTTTGTCTGCCGATGGCTTACCATGGAAAAATTTGAACAACGAGTGTGCATAAAATTTTGTGTTTCCAATAGAATCACGGCTACGGAATAGTTGAAAATGTTCCGGAACTATTTTGGAGAAACTACGTTATCACGAAGACAAGTATTTTGATGACATAAAGCATTCAGTGAAGATCGTGAAGTCATCGAGGAGTCGTCCATTCACCTCTGTTTAAAAAGGTAAAGAAACAGTGACAGAAACAAGAAAGGATCGACTCAACACATTGTGATTAATATTTCGGGCTTGAAGAGGTCGTTAAAGAGATACTTGCCAATGTAGCAGGACCCTATATTCATTAAGCAGGAGAGAGATCGGGGACAATTACTCCTGGGCCCGAAGTTCTCAGGGGGATCAGGTGCTCTTCAATTTTTCTTTACAGATACTTTTCTCCAAGAATTCACTACAATCGGTACCATAAGGAATTACCATCATTTCATAACAAAAATTGCATGGAATCAAATTATGCTCCTGCAGACTTCTCAGCGGTCAACATCAATCGAAAAAATATGTTTACAGTTCTGCATCAATATTTCTTCTCGATGCTTTACCCGATCATAATCAAGTTATCATATACAGGTTGGTTGAAAAGTTTCTGTGCTCGAAATGAAAAAATACTGTTTTTGGTATTAAATATATATTTTTATTCAACATAAACTCCCTTAACTTCAATACACTTATTCCAATGATAGTTCAATAATTTTATGCCATCCCTATAATGACTTTCCGTAAGCTCTGTAAAATACCCGTCTGCGGCTGTAATAGCTTCTTCATTCGACGAAAAACGCCTTCCACGAAAAAATTGTTTCAGGTTTCTGAAGAAGTAGTAGTCGCTTCGAGTCAAATCTGGTAAACGGTGGATGCTCAAGCGATTCGTACTTTAATTCATTGAATTTCATAATTGTTAAAACACCATTGTTCGTACTTTAATTCATTGAATTTCATAATTGTTAAAACACCATTGTGAGCAGGTGCATTGTCTTGATGAGAAATGATTTATTCTTACTTATTAAAAACTTATTATTAAACTTAAAAATAAATTAAATACCATTTAAAATCTATTAAAAATTTCTTTAAAATTCAAGGTAAAGAAATAAAAAAAAAATGGATCCACTGCCTCAAGCATTGTCATCAACGCACTCTCATTCTTGAATAGCTTAATTTCGTCGTTGCAATTTTCCAGCTATGCATTTACATGCGCTCTCTTACCTAATGCGCTATAAAACCAAAATTGGCGAAATGAAATAAATAAGAGAAAAATAAAATTGCACCAAAATTGAGCTAACGGCGTATATTACAAAAAAAAAATTTATAATAATAGCAAAAATTGTCAACCAAACTAGCGATAGAGCAATGTCAATCTGTGCCTTAGCAGAAGAAGCAGAAGCAACGCGGCGGTGTGCAACAGCCGAAATACGTTGATATTTCAAGGACGAATTTGTAAAAGTCACATGCAAAATTTGATTTGGAAATCTGCAAACAACTAACAACCAAAAGGAGAAATGTCATGCACGGGCAGTAGTTGAGTCGTTGTCGGTGTGGGGGAGTTGCGGCAAAAGTTAAGGTTATGGCCATGAAGTTTACGTTCGCCTGGTATTGCTCCCTTATTTGATACACCTGCAAGAATAAATATATTTGCATTTTGCTTTGTAGGTAGGATTATATGTACATACATATACATATATATCCATATATATGTGTTTATGGGTGCGCCGTTGAAGGTTGATACGTGCACGCCGCTGTTTGCAGATTTCGAAAAAATCAGTTCGGCGCGTCGCTTCACTTCACATTAAAAGCTGCATACAAAGTAATTGGAAGCATGTTGAATATGTGGCTTAGACTCGTTGCTAGTGAGGTAGGCACAGTGTCAAAAACGCACAGATCACTTGTTATTCTATATTTTTTTTTTGAAAATTATTTTATTTCATATTAAGTTAGTAGATTAATACAATAGATCACAAGGTTCTCATAACATAGTGAATTCATAAATGCGCCCAAAAGAGGGCTAAACGTAAAGTTTTTCCCTGGTAACATATTTTAGCTAAAAATATTACACTGAAACTCGGATTTGTAGTATGGTTTAACTAAGAAATTAAGTCTACTTTATTAAGAACACAAGTATTTTGATGGTATCAAGCATTCAGTGAAGATTGTGAAGTCATCGAAAACTTGTCTCAAGAGAGTCGTCCTTTCACCAAAAAGGTAAAGAAACAGTGCTTGAAAATCGTCGTATTGGCGTCAAAGAGATAGCTGAGGATCTTCAAATCTCTTATGGATCGGCTCAACACGTTGTGGTTAATATTTCGGGTTTAAAGAGGTCGTTAAAGAGAGATAGATGAAATCAACCTGCAAATAAATCGCGTTCACTCGGATGCTCTTTCTATACCAGAAAAGATCATTTGAGGTCGTTTGACTTTTAACTTTTGTGGTGATTTATAATAACAATATAAATGAGCAAAATCACTCGATGTTTAAAATTTCTTTGGCTCTGATAGCCTATAGAACACTGATTAGGTTCCTTTTCTTTGTGTCCAAGGTCTCAAGGTGAGCTGAAGAAAATATTCTTTAAATATTTGTTTATACTTAAGAGAAGAAAACATGCATATAATAATATTCTAGAAAAAAGTTGGTTATATAACTTTAATCATTCTTGGCAACTTGAATTCTAAACATATTAGTAAGGTTTTTAGGTATTTGTGGTACGCAACGAGCTATGGCTCGGGCTCAAAGGCTGAGCCAACAAAAAAAAAGTAAACATTATTTAAACATATAAACAATATATATCGGGATTGCTGCCATTGTATTGAACATGACTGTTAGTCGTCAACAGATACAGCACACTTCGGGACTTTATGCTTAGCCTACTTTTAGGCTACCACGTAAATATCGTATTAAATAGCGAATGACACGGCTATACGAGTTCATCGCGAATACTTTTCATAATTTTCATAAACATTTTGCATATCTCAAACCATTGTACCGCTGAAAATACAGTTTACGAGCATCCAATGTTTGTCGCACAAACACTTCTACGAAGAGAACTCAAAAGCGCGGAAGTGTCACTGCGTTGGTGGCAATCCAAGAAATGCCAGTCAGGAAAACGAAAATTGAACGTGCCTACGTGCGAAATAATCTGTTATCTCATTGGGCTTTTGAGGCTGCTCGAGCACGTTAACGCGAAAGTTTGCCCTACAACGCGAGAGAGGCACACAAAAACAAAATAGAATAAAAGAAATATGCAAACAAAAAATACTTAGAATGTAATAGCGAATTCTATTCGTAGAATAAAGTGAAGTGCAGCGTGTATGGCTTTATTGGAAGCACACCAAGAGCCACGAAGGAAAGCAAAAGTTTTGCGAAAAAGTCAAATTTTGATAGTTGCAACCACTCGCCGTGTCAATGATAAAGCGCACAAACAAACACATGCCACACACCAATTACACAAAAACAAATACATATACAAATGCATTTGCATAGAAATACATGGCAATAGCTCGTGGCAGTCAAGTTTCTCTACTTTACTTTTCCTGTTGACCTTTAACGCGGCGAACGTGCAAATGTGCGCAAAATTAAAATTGTTGGCGCGGACGCAGCGTCAGTTCCGCTATGTTTGGCTGGCGAAGCGTTGCAAATCTGTGTGGCGCTGGCATGCACATCCCGGTCGCATCAATGCAGGTGTGTCTGTGTGCCGCTGCGCCGCTTATGAAATTGAATTCATAGACGAAATTGTTGCAAATGAAATTAAATAAAATGTCGCCGTTGTTTACCATTCACTTTTTATATACATATATGCATGTGTGTATGTTTGCAAGTGTATTGTTGTTGTTTCGGCTTGTTGTTGGCAGACATTTGAGCTGCTACGAAACAATTGAAATTCCAAGTGCAAATACGTTTTTGGTATTTAACATTGTGGCATGCACTTTTGAGTGCAAATTAATTTAAAGTACTTGCAGTTGGCCACGTTTTGATTTTTTTCCGCATATATATTGCAGTTTGTTAATATAGCACGAAATGTATATTTATTATTCCGATCATTAACAGCTTTAAAACTTCCATAGAAATATAAAAGTATTTTAAAACTGTACAATTTACGAGACGAAATATAAAATAAAGTTTCGGACTTTTCAGTTGCAACTTGAAACTCAAATTCTCGGCAATTAAGTGCTTTAATGTTTATTGCTCATAAGGACATCGGATATTTTTACTACAACAATTTTTATATATTTAATTATACTAAGTGTTTTTTCTATTAAATGTTATGGTTTATACTTTTTGTTTCAAATAATGTGTGGCAGTAAATTAAAAAAAAGAGAAAATGTTAATTTCGTCTGCTCCGAGGAAGTAATAGTATAAAAAGCTCTTCATCTTGATTTTGATCGATCAGTGTGAGTGATAGCTATATATTATATTATAGTGGTCTGAACTGAACAATTTGTTCAAAGATTATAGCGCTATTTTGGACAATAATACATGCCAAATTTTGTGAAGATATCTGGTTACATAGAAAAGTTTTCCATTCAGCAACGTAATTTGGCATGTCAGCTTGTAAAACAGTTATATGCGGCAAGTCCGAAAAATAGCAGCTTCGTGGAGAAAAAAGGGCATGTGAGAAATTTTAGATGGATATCTCAATTGGGAGACTAGTTCGTATATATATATTCAGGCAGACAGACGAACCTGGCTAATTCGAGTCAACTCGTCATGCTGTTCATTGTTATGTTAAGAATATAAATGTATAAGAGTATAAATCTTAGCTCAACATCGCTGTTCAACACATGTCATATAACGGTTAACTTGGATACGATAACTGTTTGAAGAATGTTGTCCGCTTATAAAGGGTGAACCATTTCAAGGTTCCCTACTTTTTAAAGAAAAAAATACCGAAAATTGAAATTAAATGGGAAATTTTCGATGACTCGTTCGACCCTTTCGACTAGTAACTAGCGAATGACACGCGTGATGTTTGATCCAAGGCCTGAATCGAAACGGGATTGTCCGCATAATCTTTAGATTTTACAAATTCCTACAGGAAAAAATCTAACGGTGTGATATCACACGATCTTGGTGGCCAATCGACCGGCCCAAAACGGAAAATTATCTGTTCACTGAAGTGTTCTCTCAATAAATGCATTGAATGATGCGATGTGTGGGAAGTGGCGCCGTCTTGTTGAAACCAAATGTCGATGAGAGTTTGAGAGAGATGAGAATTTCAGGCATTAAATAGTCGGTTATCATGGCGCAATAACGGTTGCCATTAACGGTTACGCTCTCACCGGCATCATTTTTGAAGAAATATTGACTCATCACCGGCATACAAACAACACCAAACCGTGGTTTTTTCTGGATGAAATGACAGTTCTTGAATCTCTTTAGGTTGTTCAGGTTGCGGCAATTTTGCTTGTTTAGATACCCATTGAGCCAGAAATGGGCCTCACCGCTGAACAAAATTTGGCTCGAAAACCTCGGATGTACTTGGAACTTTTTGAGGGCCCATAGAGCGAAGCGATGTCGCTTGGGAAAGTCGAACGGCTTCAGTTCTTGCACAAGCTGTATTTTGTACGCTTTCAATTTAAGATCTCGACGTATAATACACCAAGTCGCTCCATACGTCAATCCAAGTTGTTGCGAACGGCGTCGAATCGATTCTCCACGGTCTTCGTGTATACTCGCAATTACGGCCGCTATATTTTCTTCACTACATGCTGGATGTGATCAATTCGGTCGAATATTATCCAATAGTGAATGCAGGGTGATGGTTATGCGAATAGTACACCCAGTAGGTCGATTATGTTGACCATAAGTTGAGCAAAGCGTGAAGAAACTTGAACAGAAATCTCTGAAAACGCTTTCGTGTAAATACTGAGTGATTTAACCGATAGTTTACTAACAGGGTTGGTATACAATTATTTGTAATAGATCCACGCTTTACCTAATCTCCATATATCGAATGCAAGGATTTAAGCCTTATCAATAGAATTTATTCTGTATATATAATACGGTTAATATTGTATATACCTGACATATCATAATTAGAATCTCTGTTTAAAATGCATAAAAGACTCTTACTGCTTTCTCTAGCTCCTTTATAACCAATATCATAATTTTCGTTCTTCCGTTTGCCGTTATAGAGTACATTTCAGTTAGTGAGTCAGATAACTGAAGCAACTCATCTTATACCCACTTTACTTGTTTTAACTTATTGCTCGAGGACGAAAATGATTCCAGGCCAATATTTTTTAAATATACAATCTTTTATATATTTTTCGAAGATCCGTGTCTGAATCCAAATAGTAACTGTCATTTAAGTTTAACCGAAAAATAACCAACACTATTGGTATAAGAGAAAAAAGT